AAATTTAAACAAAGACCAAAATTATTGTTTAGTATGCTTAGAATTAATACAGTACATTGAGCGTAACAGATTAACAAATTTTTGAAATGTGACAAGAGATAAGTTATTAATGTTTTAAAGTTACTTTCAACAAAGTTCACAAATTATTTTTTTTACAGACAAAATTTACACAAACAAGAATCGTGAAGCAAAAAAAATATTAAGTTTTCAAATGATAAATGTCAAAAAGCAAACAAAAAAATTTTTTTAGTAAAAATTTGTAGTGAAGACCGTACTGGTCTTTGATCATCATAACGTGTGATAATCTTTCGATATCGTACAGACCATCAAAAGAGTTTCGAAAGTTCTGTACCAGCAAAATTTCCTGAAAAAAATTTATATACTGAAATCTTGAATGTGATTCCTTAAAACTGAAAAATATGTGCCAAACTACTCAGATCGCACAGAAAAATAAATACATAGATATCAATTTCAATAATTTCAAATAAAATTAAAATTATAATTACAGTAATTAGCCAATAAAGGGTAAGAGTAAGATAAAGGCTGTAGGGGTATAGCTGTGCTCTAACCTGACCAATTTCGGATACATACGCCAACACGTGAACCAAGTAACCTTTAGCAAATTCCAGTAGTATGTATTCGTTTTTATATCTATCTGTCTTTGATAATTAGTAATCGGTTTACAAGCAAGAAGTGAAAACGTTTATTTATAGCTTCTGCAGAATATTTAAACTGAATATCTGTAATTTTGCAGCACAATATCTCTCAATCGCTCACTCTGATAATATAATGGTTGTTAGTAATAAGGATAAACAAATTAAGGGATATTTGGCGAAGACGATTACAAACGTGATTTGTAGCTGTAAGAAAGGTTTTTCAGGCTGTGTAAGAAAGTAAAAGTAAATTAAGTTGTCTGTAATTAAAAAATTCAATTGGTATTTAAGCAGAATTATTGTTGTTTAGACTGTTTAGATAAGTGGAAGTGTAGTTGACAAAATTTTTTAAAATTTTTTTACGTAAACAAAAGATTTACAGTTTGTTTCCAAGCCTATTTGCTTTTGACATGTCAACTGCTTTTTTTATTTTTTTTATTTTTTTATTTTTTGTTATTTGTAGTCGATAAATAAATAAAAAAAACCGCAAAGTTAATTAAGATTTAAAAAATGGTAAACTAATTTAGTTCTAAACATAATAATTCAAAATAAAAAATTTTAACAACGCTGATTACAGAGTCAAAATTTAGATGCAAAACATTTTTTTAGACAACAGATTGTTTTCTGCTGTTTTTTTCTCACTGTTATTCTCTTTAATTGCTTGGCAGCTTCAATGCTTTTGATAATTCTTATAAACAAAGTAAAAAACTGTCAATAAAAACAATTTTTTAATTTTTTTTTTATGCTGCTGCTTTTTCTAATAAGGCAGTAAGAGTAACATTTGAAAAACACTTAAAATGGCACTGAAGATAGAAGAAACAAAAATTTACAGAAAAATGACCGTTTTAAAGCTGCTATTTAAATTTTTTTTCATCAATCACTTCTAATAAGAATTGGCTGTATTTAACTGATCACACCCGCCTTCGTACAACGTATCACTTCGTATTTAAAATTTGCTGTACTTTAAAATTTTCTTTCTTGATCGTAACTCAAGCAGACACTTTAATTCTTACGGATCTTATTTGTACAAATTCTGCAGCATATAGCAAAAAATTTGTTTCTAACTAATTCACTTAAACTCCGTCTAGAATCCGGCATTCTGCAAACAACTTTCTTTGTTGTTTATAGCCCTGCTGAGATCAAAAAGTGGTATTTCAGTAGATCCCTCGTAAGTGTGCGCTCGTGACAGGGAAAACCAGAAGAATACACACTGTCTCAGTGACCTACTCAAATCACAGTTTAAAAACGCTACAATTACTTCAAAATCTTTCCAAGTTTCTTTTCAGCCTTAGTTTCAGCCCATTAATTCAAAAACAGCAACTTGCGAAAAAAAGATTTTCATTTTTAGAGAAGTAGAAAGGATGAATTTTAAATAAGTCAATGTAAAAGTTAAATACAAAAACCTTTTGAAAATTCAGCTGCAGAATTTCAGCGGCGATTTTATACTTTGTTTTGAGTGCGTGTGGGTTTTTGTCTGTCTGTTTGTCTGTGTCTGTGTTTTTGAACATAATATCTTAATGTGTTCACTTTTTTCTGATTGTTGTTTTTAGCAACAATCCTCAATGGATAAAAGATGCACTGACTTTCTTGAAAAGTTTAAGATTTTATTTGCGATTAATATTTTGATTTTTGACATTTCAAGTGTGATTTTGGTGTATGTATATATATTTTTATATGTAGCAGTTTTTCCCCTTGCTAATTTAATCGGCACGAAGATCAGTCAAGTTGACAACAACTCCCCTCAACGTTTTGGCATTTAGTGCAGCTATAGACCAGTAAAATACTGTTGTTAGGAAAAGTTTCAATGAGATATGGTTTGTTTTAGCACATGTATTGATTTAGGGAACATATTTCCACTGATATATACATGTACATATAAAACAATAGCGAAATAACTGCAGAAAAAAAATGACTTTTTGGTTATGCCGTTCAATTAGTGCGTTTTAGACGTTGAATACATTGGCCCTTTTTTGCCCCTTTGACATTATCACAAAGGGAATATGGGAAGGACCTTTTCATCCTTGACTGTAGAGCTGCTGCAGTTGTTAGACCGGTGATCACCTCAAATACCGTTTGTCGGATTTACTTCAACAATTTAATATTTGGCAACCAATTTTTTAGCGAAATTACATTATTATGAGTGTTACTTTCGGGTTTCATTGATTGTATGTTGACGCTTTCGCTAACTAGTACTTTTCAAGACTGGTTAATAAAGTTTTTTACTTCTTATCTCTCAAACACTCATTAGTGATTAATTTACATGAGTTTATCCAAACTTATTTTTGAAGCCTTAAAAATTGTTAAAAAGTAATAAATCTCAGTCGAATTACATAAACAGCGTCTGAAAATTTGCGGAGATATTAAGACACTTAAAATAAATTACTTTAAATATTGTGTCCAATTTTGTTTTGATACTTGATGAATGTCTAAGTTTTACATTGGGTTTTAGTTGGTGTTTATTAAGCAAGTTTATAATTAACTAAACGAAGGAACTTTACCGGAACTGAGCAGACTTCGCTTAAAACAAGCAAGACGAATAGTAAGGAAAGAAGTTTTGAAGGCATCGTAAAAGCTAGAATGAAAAAAACTTGGAGTTCCTGCACTCTGACTGCCCCATATATATACGTCGGGAGCGGCCCCAAAATAGGCCCCTCCCCATTGCAAGTTGCGACTACAGGAAGTCGCTGCCGCCGCGGCTTGAAGCAGCCAGGAAGACATGTCAACCGTGTCAACTTCGGCTAGGAGACTGCGAAGTCCCCTTCTCCTGAACTGGAGGTGTTCTCTACTAACGGGGATTTATAAACAACAGTGAGACACAGACGGGTTTGACCTTTTGTAAAAATATGAAGACAGAGCGGTTGGCAAGTACTATGGAACAGCACCATAGGACCGACGAAATAATGACGTCACGTCAGTGAAGCAAAAAATGTTTAATTACCCAAGTTTGAGGCAAGCTGAGCAGTGGTGGCAGCAATGAGAACCTATGGACGGGTTTAACCTCTTGTAGGGACAGGAAGGCAGAGGTGTTGATGAGGTAGAACCAGTTCTGGTGGTCCATGATGTCGTGGCTTGCGATGTGTGACATCAACTGGAGGTTAAGGATCCGTGTCTGCATTGGAAAGAAGCATTTTTCAATCGATTTTTCCACATTTTAAAACATCATTTCCTAGTTTATTCCTGAGATTAGAAACGGAATCTCGATTAACGCTCCTCGAATGAAAGACTTTTCGAAAATTGGATTACCCCTTGCTGATCGATCAGGAGCCGATAAAAGGTCTTTACTTTCACGCAGCGTCACGAGGCGGTGAATATCGCTCTTCAATTTGTGACCAAAGGTGGTACAAAGCGTTGCCCCCACATATTGTTTTCCATGAAAGTCCATCCATGTACGATTGTGGCAGCGCTGTTCTTGTGCCATACCTTAATTTATGCCCCTGTTTGAACTTTTGCCTTGAAGACTCAATGGTGTTCGTGCAAGCACCGGTCTCAGGATCAGTAAACTGTCGTTACACGATAAATTGCCTCATTCGGTTTTAGAATCGTGCAGATTGTGGTTACCTATTCAGAACTGCACGTTGTCCGGCTCGAAACCGGAACTGGCATCACCGAAACGTGCGATTATTATCACACCACATCACCTCTACCGCGCGGTCCTTTTATGACAGATAAATAAGCAAAGAAGCTGCGGCTAAATTACAGTGACGCAACGAGGCGTCGTTTCGCTCAGCCTTGTTGCGCCGTCGCTGTTCCCCTTTCCCCTTGCTGCTGTTCCCCCCTCTTTATCGCTGCCCCTCTTTCGCGGCCCCTCCCAAAATATATACGGGGCCACCAAGGTGCAAAAGCTTCGCATTATCTTCCCCTGTTTTTTCTCACTAACAAATTTGGTTTTAAAATTTTTTGTTTGTAATGCAAAATCAAATTTTTTTTTGCCGATTTCTCATTTTTATAAAAAAGGAAAAAAAAGAGAGAGTAATGTTGCTGCTTGTAGCTGAAAAATCAATGAAGCATTTTGGGATTTCTTTTAGCTAAAAAAAAAGTCATACAGATATGGTTTATGAAGTTTCTGAATGGCGATAACTCATTGAAAACTGAGCAATCTTTTAAAAGACTGTCTTACTCTGCCGAAAAACAACTGCCTACTCGTAATACAGCTTTAAAATTTGATTTTTCACATCAGACTATTTGTACATACGTGTAATAGAAAAAAGGAACGAGCTGAAGCAATAAATATCTCAGAGATACACCGAATAACGGCAAATAATTTGTGGTTGACATTTTAGAGTTCTTCCTTTGTAGCCCAACAAAAGAATCAATTTTAGGCTTAGTTAATACTTCTGTTGAAAAAAAATGGATGCCGAAGTCAATCGAGAAGGATTAGACGGTTGGGAGAAATTAGTAAACTTCTGATTTGACAAAAAAGTCAAATTTTTGCCGGTTATGAAGGTTGATCATTGTTGATAGAATATTCAAAAAGCAAAACATTAAAGTTTTTTGAGTGCTGACGATAGTGCTACTGCAAAAAATTATTTCCTGAAGGAGCTGAGGTTTCTGGAAACAGAAGAAATCTTGTTTTACTGCACATCAGCACCATACTGCATCTTTCAAATAATGTATGTAAATTGGGAAAGTTGAGGCGTGAAGTGATGGTAGATCCGCTTTACTCTGCATATTTATTTAATTATGATTACTACTTTATCAAGGTATCAAATAAAGCATTTGAGGAAAAAAATTTTCCGAGTTTAGAGCGTTGAACATTAATTGTGACAGTTTTTGACTTATAGACCTGTGAACTTTTTCACGTTGACGTATTTGCTAACTTTTGTAGTTCTTACTTTGACGAATAATTTAAAGCGGAAATAAAGTTGCTAAGGTAATGACAAAATTGGCAGTTTTTTTTACTGAACTACGTCAGTAAATTGAGTTTTGTGCAGACGTGAAAAGGATGTATTTAGTGAATTGACAGTGACAACTTATTGGTTTAGGTGGTCAGCTAAATCCTGCAGTGTCTCTTCTGTTATGGTCGTTTGGCAAAATAAGTATTATGGAAGTTCTAATTTACAGCTTAGCTCAAACTCTTGGTGCTATACTCGGTGCTGCAGGAACATATATGCAATATTATGGTTATTAATCGTTTTCTTCTTGATCTAGTACATGTATACTTAATGTTAAGTAATTGAGAAAACATCGTTGATTTTGTTACAAGAATAATTGTTACACTACTTTTTTATATTTGGAAACTTGAAATTAGCTTATAAATAATGACTTACTGTTATCATACCAGTTTCGTAAACTGAAAAAGTCGAAGAGGCTCTGATTTGTTAAACAACTTCAGATGCTATACAAGCCTATGACCCGTTGCGGACAGTTGTCGGACCAAATGCAACTGCCGGTATCTTTGGTTCTTTTCCTAGTCCATTTCTCTCAATGGTTGGAGGATTCGTTGACCAGGTAAACAATTTTGCACTTTATTCTTAACGTGCTTTTTCTTGACTTTCAGCTTGTGTTTCTTCATTGTATTTAGAGAAGATTGTAACAGCACTATTTGTTTTAAAATTGGTAATACTATAGTGTTGTTACATTATTCATTGAGACTGTCATTATAGCTAATAAGTGAAAAATATATTTTTTTTTATCTGTTGATACTAGCATCATGATAGGCGAGTAAAAAATGTAACTTTTATCAAGACCAAACTTTAGGGCACGTGCAACGTTTTGGAAGTCTATAAAAGTTTCTTACTCTTTTCTGTTTAATTGTTCACTTTTTGGTATTAGAAGTGTGCGGACATGAACTAAAAAAACTTTCAACACGCAAAACAGAAATATTTGTTTGACATTATCGAGCTTCTTGTTGTGTCTTTCATAAAAACAACAATGAATTTTCGAGGTGGTTTTTCACATTACTGTCTGTTTTAGACTGTCGGCACAGCAATATTGGGTCTTTGTGTCGCTATTGTGATTGATTCTCGAAACAGGATACCACATTATGTCGCCCCAATGTATTTCGGATGTGCAGTCATGATGATTGGCACAGCGTTCGGTCTTAACGTTGGTTATCCAATCAATCCAGCTCGTGACTTCGGACCCAGATTATTTACATTTTTAATTTATGGTGGAGCTGTGTTTAGGTGAGGAATAATATGTCTTACATTTAATTTAGTTATATTTACGGTTATCTGTACAGAATATTGTTATATGTGCGACTTATTTGTTGATGAAGACTTATTCTTCCTTCTTCAGTGAGCCCAACTGTTGTTGGTGGGTAATACCAATAATCGCTCCATTGTTTGGAGCTGTCTTAGGGGCCTGGTT